TATCGTCAACTAAATATTATTATTGCCAAATATAATGATCATACATTCAAGGTCAGCAACGTACATATATGATATACGATATCTTAAGAGCTACACAGGAATTCCAGAACCTAAAAACCTATGCAAACAGACTGGTAGGTCATCCAACCAAATCTGTTCCCCTTCTATCATCTCCGCATAACGAGCAACAGCATCAGCACACCTGTTTGCTTCTCTCTTGACATGGTGGAAAACAACCGGTTCCAGGTCCCTAATCAATAGCTTGCAGTCATCCACCACTCAACCGACCTCCTGCAGGCACCCATGGCTTTTACTTCGGAGAGCTGAAACCACTTGGACATTATCCGACTCCACTTTCATCCTCCTAAACCTAAAACCCATATATCTCGCCTTCCCATTTCAATGTTCAGCTCATAGCTTTAGCTTCAACCATCAAAGGACTCCCTCTGCATAAAGCTTCTGGGCAATTACACCCAAAACATGTCTCCATCATCACGCATCAGTCCACCCAAACATCTCCACACATATAATGATGAACTATAAGTTAGAGAATAAGTTCACATGTGAGGTGGTGGTGGCGTTGAAAGATGTACATAAGATTCCACATTGAAAAGAAATAAAGTATTTAAGTGCAATATATGTAGAAATCTATAAATTTTATAGACATATCTTTTGAATTCAACATGATCTCTTCATTTTCCTAAATTCTATCTCACTTAACTTAAATTTTGAGTTTCATATCTCTTAATTTTGACTCTTAAGTTAGTTTTTAAATAGTTGAATCATTCCTTAGAAGTTTTAAGTATTATATGTTTTTGTGTATATCAATTTACCTATAAAAAAATATAGTTAGAAGAAGAAGAAAAAAAAAACACCAATGCACTCATAATTGACTTCATATATGTAGAGTAAGATCATGTGCATCAATCAAGTTCTTGTTGTTTAAATGATTTACCTGTCTTTAACTATATGCAAAAGTAGTTATTCTTGATATTTCTCATCTACAAAACTGAACAAAAGAAAATGTGATGCATTAAATATAATTATAAAATGTAACTCTTTATATTGGCAAGGAAGAACGATTATTAAGTGTGACAATGAACTTCTCACCTAATCTTTGTCTCTTGTTTTGGTTTTCCCTTTCTGGTGCAGCATTCCAAACGCAGGCATGTATAATATCCAATAACACCACTAGAACCCGGCTGTTTGCAATTATCATCAGAAAATCTAGCATGAAAATATGAGGCAGTTATATAGCCAAAGACGACCTGCCGATTTATGACATTTTCAAAATTTTTTTTTTTTTAAAAGTATATCAGAATATAGCATATATATGAGTGAGTTAATGTGATGAACTGATGATCACATATACAATTTAATGTAAAATAAATATTTAGCATATAGTTTTGCCGGCAAGTCATCCTTGGCTACACTACATAGCCTCATTTTATCATGCAAGATTTGAGATGAAAATATAAAAGGATCACAGCCATGAAAAGAATCATTCTCCCAAACAAAAGAGAGGTAGGGGATCTTCCCTAAGAAGGAAAATGAACATTCTTTAAAAACTAAGGTACGTTTGGTTTTAAAAAATGTAAAAAAAAAGGAGGAGAAAAATTAAAAAAAAATGTCATATCTTTTCATTTTCTTCCATTTCTCACCTCGTTTTCCCTCATTTAGATAAGTAAAAAATTAAAAAAAATATAAAGTAAATAGCTTTCCTCTTCTCTCCTTTAATATTTTTGTAACAAAATAGAAAAATTTTCTCCGTTCTCCTCACCTTATACCAAACATACCTAAAAAAGCAATAACAAAAACGAGAAAAAAAAAAAAAAAAGAGGGAAAACCATCATTTGCGTCTGTGATAAGAGGCAGAGAGGCAAAGAAGAAGAAGCGGATTGGACTGGAGACCCAAATGGTAGGAGGGATGGACGAATGGGGTCTTGAAGCAAAGAGAAGAGGCCAACTCAAGGAGGGGTATTTATTAAAGGACCCAATTTTTTTGACGTACAGGTCAAATAGTGCTGATTTTTTGCACCGACAAGGTAGCCCAAGAACTGACCTTCAGGTGCCATTAACCGGTAAAGAAACCAAAAATGGTGGGTAAAACAGAGGGCTCTAAATAGTGCTAGGATGTGACCCTGCACGCGGTGATGAACCCAAGAGAGATTTAATTCATTTTTCTAACACTGTAGATCGATTGCCATCACCATGACGAAGGAGCCTCTTTTAACCCAAGACAGATTCAGAAGTGATGAGCAGTTTTTTTTGTTCATTTAGTATTTAAGACTTACGAGACTTGCCCGATTGAATTTTTCCTTTTTCTTTTTTTTTTTTTAATCTCTATTTCTTGCCAGGGCCTACCTAGTGCAGAAATTACAGAAGAGAAAGATTATGATCCGACCTAACATTTTTTAAAGAACTTTTTCCCCACCTTTGAGCAGACCAAAACTCAGATGCATCTTTTTCTCTCTCCTTATAAAAACTCAGGAGACACGGGCGTACCACATCCTCTGAGCAGTTCATATCAGCTATACGTCTTATGCCTTTCATATTTATCGACCTTTGATAATGAGAGAGTAAATGTCTCACTTTCATTTATTTATTTTTTATGTTAACAGTCACCTTGAATCTATTTTTCCACACCTCGTTGGAGAAATTTTAGACTCATTACTACATTAATTGATTTTTTTAATGTTAATAACTTATTATTATAATGACAACACTTATTTATTAATAAATTTATTTAAACGTGTTAATTTATTGCAAACGTCTTATTATTAGAAAAAAAAAAAAAGTTGATCAGCCAATTTAGCAATAGTAGCAGACAATTCTTTTTCAAGCGCGCATACAATTTTAATGTAGGCAATACAGTTAGTTGACTAAGAGCCACATTCAGAAACACAAAAACATATGCATTTACAATGAGCAAATTCAAACCAGTCTCCTGTGTAGGTTCAAAAGAAATACAAGTTTTGACGGATCAATCCTGCCTTATGAATTTCTCATGACAAATGTGTTGGGCAATCCACCACGAGCTGGATAAATAGTGTAAAAAAAAACAAAAAAAAAAAAAACCCACCTAGGAGATTCAACCACTTACCAGTATTTTAAACACCCCATCGTGCATCAGGCTCTTCCATTGTTAGATGTGGCAACCTTCAAAAGGTATGCAGTAAAAGGCTGATCTGCAATACAATGCAAAACCTGTCCAACCAGGACACGCTTCCCTTCTCTAACTTATAACCTCAATCAATCAAGAAAACCATGGTAGACCAGACTTGACCATAAAATAGCCAAACGTGCAGTTTCTTTAAAACAAGCTATTTGAAAAAGGATATCTAGTAGCAACTAGCATGAGTAAACCCATTCTTTAGATCCAAGCGTGCATTCCAAGGGAAAGCTTTCCCCTTAAATCATTAGTGTTATCAATAGCTACTCAAGATAAAAAGTTGTATAAAAACCCATCACATCACACCCCATGGATAGGGGCATTATTAAGACCATGGTGCAATTGCAACACTCTCATATCTTAACGATTGAAGTTGCCTGCAATTCAGATGACAACTATTCTGCACTAGATTACAGGTTAAACAGTCAAATTTTAGAAAAAGATTCAAAATAAGTAAAGGCAATATGGTAGAGTGAAAATAAAGCAAAGACAATGTCAGAAAAATAAACCCTGAGACTTCAATACAACTGCCTATGGATGAAGCACCAACAAGGTTCTTTTACTTCCAAACAAATATCAACCAGAAAAGAAAATAGAAATATTATAAAAAAAGTAACAAAGGCATTCCAACTAGCTAAGGTTCTTGGGAGCACAATGCATAGAGCTTGGTTTTTTGGTGTCTTGGACATGGCAAATTTCAAAGTGACTAACAAGATCTCCTCATATATTTGGTGCTTTCAGGTAGTAGCATCAGGGTGGGCCATGTGTATATCAAACCCTGGTTCATCTGGTCTTCAGGTTTAGGCAGGCTTCATCAAAGGTGACAGTAGGCTGGCTTCAGGCAGCGTATATCTCAGCTGTTTTGATGGGAAGGGAAAGGCAACCAAGGGAAAAAGAGCATCAGAATCCTATTTAAAGGGAGTTTGACAGGTTATAATATCAAACTGTTATATACTACCACATACTGGCCCAAATTAGGAAAACATGCAAATCTGTAACTATGGGCACAAGAAAATGAGAAAGAATAAGTCTATCTGCACATACCAATGACCATTTTTCAGTAACCATAGGTTTTGCGGCGTGAAGCAGGGGTATGGCTTGATAACCTGATAAGAAAAGTTACAGTAAATCTTGGATGGTATTACAAAAGTGGCCTTCCAAAACAAAATTAAAATACAAACCCCAATTTAAATGGATGGGGCAGAATAAGATGCATGTAGATAAATGTCATATTTTAGTCAAAACAAAATTTACAAATATCATGTTTGTAAGGGGTTCAACGACCCCATTAAACAGATTATTTCAATGTGATGCAAGAATAATTATGGTGGTAATAATATTTTTAAAGATCATCTTACCCAGGACCACTGCGCCCAGAAGAATAACTCCCATATGCTCCATAGCTACCACTACCTCCAATCTATAAATAATGGGAATAAATAAAACAATTCATTAATTAAAAGCCTGGGGGAAAAGGATATAGGAAAAAGGGCACTAGCAAGTTAGAATGTCTAGGAGAAGGATATTTGTGTAGTTGGACGTTGAAGAGAACAAATCCCAGAAACAAAAATTTGGTAATAGCCACGTGACAGTAAGGAAAAATACCTGTCCTCCATAACTTCCGTAATTGTCACTATCAGGCAGATCACTTGAGCCATAACTACCAGAATAAGAATGCCCCCGTCCATGCCTCTTGCTATCTCTACTTTCATAAGCTAAACCATCTGCCCCCTCTGCTGGCACTGGGAGATATGGCAAAACTGGCACTAGTGCAGAAACAGCGCCTTCCCTATCAAAAAGGTTAGCTCTCAACCGTGTAGTTACTTGTACAAGAGCATCCTTCGCAACATCAAGGTCTCCAGTAATCTGATCAACAAAAATTAACAATTGTCATCAATAAACAACTTTGAAAAAATAACAACAACAATAAACAAATACAAAAGAAAACAATGTAGGATCATACCTGCACCATCTCATCATCTTCAGATGCAATTTTTGGCAGGTTTTCTTTTGAAAGTATACGAATATTTGCTTTGGTGATCCTCCTCATCTCAGTTATAATAGCACCTCCTTTACCAATAAGGCAGCCAATTCGTGAGGTTGGTACAAGTAAGCGGGTGGTGAATGATATGATTCCTGAATCTCTTTCAATCTTCTCACTGCATCTAGGTTGCAAACGTGCAGCTGCTTCTATAGTGGGAGAAAACGTGTCCTCAAAGAACTAATAAAACATGAGATTGCATTATTAGAAACATAGAAAAAGACAAGTGCCAATACAAGCATAAACAGAGACTGAAAACCAACCTCTTTAGCAGAAATAGTTATTAAACAGTCATCTGCTTCAGTTGTGTTACTATCAACTTTGATGACTGCCTTTGAATCCTGTCTGATTTGATTGATTATGGCACCACCCTTGCCAATTACACCTCCAATATTAGCAGTTGGACAGACCAAACGGAGTGAAAATTCTTTGGATGACATCTCATCCCTTGGAGCTGAATACAATGAGCGTGACCAGTCTCCAGTATCACTCTTGTATCCTCCATAAGGACCCACCAAGGGTGCTATTCCCACAATCTGCGCACCAGCAGCTGAACCTAGGAGTGCACCACTAGAAGGATACGTGCTTGAAATAGCTGAAGTAAGCAAGTGCTGAGTGCGTGATGGATTTTCATGAAGGCGATTTGCGATTTGACACAGAGCCTTTTTGACAACTGCAGCCTGCCCAGATATCTGGAGCAAAAAATTAGATAAAATTAAAAAAAGAAAAAAGTTCTCGAGGGATAAATGCACATCATAAGTACAAAATATGCAACCTTAAAGGGAGGAGTTTCTTGTTGAGTCCCTTCTTGGTATGTTATTGGGCAAAGAATATTAACCATAAACATCAAAGCAGACTTAAATCAAATTCATCATAATTTCAATGCCTTTCAATTTGATAACTTGTACTTACATAACACTCTAGAAGAGGTTGTTAAGAACAAGCATCACAACATTAATTTCCAAACACTACATCGCATTACCTGTACAAGCTCATCGGTTCTAAAGGCACATGAGGGCAAATGCTCATCCTTAAGAATGCGAATTTGAGCACCAGTTTCACTGCGTATATTCTGAACAATCTGTCCACCCTTCCCTATAATACATCCAATCTGATCGGATGGTACAAGAAACCGAGCAGTAATTTGCTGGCCTTCAGACTCCTCATCTCGATGCAAGTCTTCCGCAATAACCCTATCATGCACCCTGAATAAAGCATCCTGAGCAGCAGAGACAAAAGTATCACCATCTTCCAGACCATTTGTCTCCTCACCAGAGCTGTATATGGTAACCACACGTTCATCACATCCAGGAACAGTCTCACCAATCCTAATCTTTGCTTTAGTGTCTGCCCTTAATTGCTTAACAATTTCCCCTCCTTTTCCTATAATACTCCCTATCTTCCTAGCAGGGCACAAGTACCTGTACACGGTATCTTCAGAATTAATAACAAATGGCTCCCTTTCATCCCCAGAATTTCTCCTCTTATTTCCTCCATTCTCAGAATAGTCAGAATGAGAATGAGGCCGCTTCCCGTAACTATTCCTCTGGCCCGACCCCATTATTAGCAATTAGCTATCTGATTCCAAAATCAAAACAGAACTTATTTCAAGAGTGGGAAGACAAAAGCTAAAGGTTTTACTTTCTCAAGGAGCAGAAATTCAAATTCAACAATTGAACAATTCATTATTCTACAAAAATAATACAAAGTTCAGCTTTAAATTACATAAATCTAGTCCCGAAAAAATTTAAATAAAATCACAAGAAGAGAATCTCCGATAGCTCAACCCAAAAATTAAAAAAAAAAAAATCAACAGCAACGAATCTTTGTTCGGCGAGAAAACGGGGTCAACGATAACGATAACATGAAAACATAGATCTGAATGAAAAAAGAGATGAAAAAGCAAACAACTTTGGGATGAGAAGGAGATGAAGGTACGATCTGGGGAGTGGAAGGGAAAGAAGGAGTTAATGGGTACCTGAAATTCTGGGTACAAGGAGAGAAGACGAAGAAAGTCAGAAGCTTTGCTAGTAAGAGATTTATCTGTCGTCGTCGTCGTCTGCCAGTTCGTGTTTTGATTTCTAGGGTTATATGCTGGGACCCTATTGTACCATAAGTATTATATAAACAGTTCCGATCCGATTTATTAGGTCATCATTAGAACGTTATTTACAGGGAGAACCCCTTTAGGTATTTGAGGAAATTTTGATTTAGTCCTCCAACTTGCATTTGGTGGTGATTAACGCTTCCTTTAATACTGCTCTATATATTCATTTTCTCTTATTATCTTATTTAAAAATATAAATAATTTATTGATTTGAATAAAAAATTTCTATTCTAATTAACTAAAATCTCGAATTTAAATTCATTCAATAGAAAAACAAAAGGGTTCAATCTAGGGAATTAGTAACAAAAAAATCTTATTTAAAATTTTAATTATTTATTTATTTTTATTTATTTTTAATAATATTTTATGTTTTTTTAATAAGAAAATGAATAAAACTTATCGTTACAGCATAATATTAGGTAGCATGTTATTGGAAAACAAAATCTAAGAGGTTGTACGAAAAAAGGGTAATTGGCTTCCATTTTTGGCCACTTCATTTTCATATGGTTGCTAGTTAAATTCAAGTAATTTTACTTTTAAAAGAATGAGATCATTGTTGGGCCTTTTATGGAAAGGAGAAAGAAGTAGGACCTTGCAATTGATCATGTAACTTGTGTTCTTTGCAATCGCAATGATGCAATTTGAATTCACTCAACACATTTTCTTCTCATGCCCACATGCTATATGCCAGGAATATCAAACAAAGTAGGTATTCCATTTACTTCTTAAAATAGTATGTTAGTCAACTTTGCTAATAAGTAAATGAAAAACCAACAAGGGTTGGATCAAGTGGTAAGCGGTTTGTTTCAGCTTAAGTAAGATCTTGAGTTCGAGACTTTGTGTACGCAGCAGTTTTCGTTGGGAGATTCACCCACCATTTTCAGATGCGCGATATGAGTCGGTCCGAATTAATCAGGGCGAAGTCTTGGATACTAGGCGGGAACAAAAAAAAAATGAAAAGAAGCGTCTTCTTAATTCCCCTTTTTCTTTTTCTTTCTCCCTTCTTTTTTTTTTTTTTTTTGTTGGAGCAGATACATTTGGGGATGCTGGATTTTGTAAAGCAGGGCACTTCCTGTGTGTCGAAATTCGGTCCAAGCCAAGATGTACAGGGGGACTTTCCACTATAGCCAAATTAAAGCTGTAAGTCCATCTTCATAATGCTTTCATCATATGAGAGTGATTTTCTGGGTCAAGACTACGGGAATTTAAGTTATAAAAGTATGAAAATATTTTTATTGAAAATATTTAAATATTTTCATAGTTTGTGCAATCTAGATTAAAAAAGATTTTTATGTTATATTATATATTTTTATAAGACAGAAATCAAGAGGACCACTATACAATATTGTATATTTGTTGACCAAAGAAATATGACTTTGGGTTAATATTGTTATAGAAAACTGAAGTGCAGTTGATTATGTGTAGAAATTTAAAATTTATAAGGAAAGTTTACTTGGAGGTTACCGTTTGTGAACTTAAATTTGTATTTAAATGATGTATTTTAAATATATATAATTTTAAATACATATATTTTTGAATTCATTATTTGGATTAATATAACAAAAATGAATTTGATATTCAAGTTGTTAATTGAGGCATTTTTATAAACACTTTCAAGACAATCCCTTTGTATTTTCAATAACAAGCCCAAGCCAAATAACAACTTTCATTTTATCTCATCCACTAACAAACATGATGCTAATATCCCCAATTCCAAAATCCAGCATTCCCCACCAAT